GTCGATTTTCTTGCTTAAAAATCTGCATGTTCTGTAATAAATTGCAAACAGCCAACTCACCCGCAATATAGCATTGGGAAACTAAATATTACAGTTAATAATAGGATTTTGATTATTCACATTATTTTATTTAATAAATAGGTTGGATGAATAGGTATTATTGTAAGCGATTGTAAACCACAATCATTATTTAAAGTAGGTAAATGGAAAGAAGTTCGGATACCTTTTATTTAAAAAAAAAAAGGTATCTGTATGTATGTTTTTCTCTTATGTATATAAAAATAAAGACGGCTCTGCTCCACGAAATAAAATAAATCAAAATCTAATATCTCGAAGTTAAAGCTTACAGTTGTTAATTATTTTTTTTAAGATAGAAAAACACAAACAACACGAGTACGGTACACTCAAATTAAAATGATTTATTTTAAACTTTCAACATAGTATATCATACTCGGTCCGATATGCGAAGAGTAAAAAATATACATTACCTAAAATTTAACCCTAAGTATTTTTTTATTTGATTATTGTTGAGTATATTGGTTTATTCAAAATAATTATTTAATCACTATAGTATATTATATTCAATGAATCTACGAAATATATAAAATTAAGAAATTTAACTTCAAATAAGAGATTGTTAATTAATTATAGTTATAAGTTAACAAGGAGGGATATAAAAGAAATAAATCAGATAGTCGAATATTTTAATTTGTGGGAAATAAACAAATAGTTAATTCTCAACGGGCAATGGTTTAAACAAGTATTAGGTCAATAATGAGAGTTATTTACAGGTCCTTAATCCATAATTAAGTAGGGTATGGTTAAAGCGTAAATACATGTTAGTGTTATTTAATACAAAGATTGTGTCAGGAACATGAGAATATGGCATAGCACATGTCTATTTTCGAAGGATATTATACCTTTTTTAATATTCTCATTTAGCTTCTTAATTTTACACTCGGTCAATTCATTAACTAATGGTACTTTTATAAATAAGGTTTCAACATAAAATGCATATAAACACTGTGTACGATCCGTACGGTTGTACGATATTGTATCTTAAGCTTGTTTGCTATAATGGTATACGATACATTACTGAACCGATGATCCACTGAATAATTTCAGATAACATAAAAACAATTTACCTCCAAATAAGAAAACAGGCGACGTATTGAGATTTAAAGTTTCGATCTGTTTGTCATTTTTAAGAATTTGAATTTTCAGTGCTCTCGAAAATAATCATATAGATCGAAACGTTGGACCTCAATATGTCTTCAGTTTCATTTAGTCCAGTCCACCGCGTGTTCTGGCTGTCGAATTGTTTAACCATAACAACTCCCTGGTTTAACGTATTCTTTTGTTACACTCAAGTCTAATTCGTGTTTTTTTTTTAATCCTTAACTATAAATCTTAAATATTATTTTTAATAGGTTTAGTGAAGTACATGTTGTTAACAAACATGTTAAATAAAAATATTTTTTTTCACAAGTATATCAATCGACTTTAGTGTTGTTTGAAACATTTCATTATTTAAATGTTATTAAAACTAAAATAAGAAAATCGTGGTTTTAAAAGTCTGTATACTGCAGGTGCTATTTCTGAATAAAACGATAGGCTGCTGAAATGATCGTAGACCAATGCCAATGTCCTTATTTGGAGGTAAATTACATCAGCCTTTAACGTATTCTTTTGTTACACTCAAGTCTAATTCGTGTTTTTTTTTAATCCTTAACTATAAATCTTAAATATTATTTTTAACAGGTTTAGTGAAGTACATGTTGTTAACAAACATGTTAAATAAAAATATTTTTTTTCACAAGTATATCAATCGACTTTAGTGTTGTTTGAAACATTTCATTATTTAAATTATTAAAACTAAAATAAGAAAATCGTGGTTTTAAAAGTCTGTATACTGCAGGTGCTATTTCTGAATAAAACGATAGGCTGGTGAAATGATCGTAGACCAATGCCAATGTCCTTATTTGGAGGTAAATTACATCAGCCTACTTTCAATAAACAAAATTTAAGGTATGGTGTTGTATCCCAGCCACGGCATAATAAATTTGATACTTTCAAGAAAAAAAACCAATTACATACTTAATAAAACATTGCCGATAAAATATATAACAATACATTACAATACAATATTTACAGTTAAAGTTGTCATGATTTTAAATAGGTTGATTTGCATTTACGACTTCTTGTAACACGTGAGAACGGTAGTCTTCACTCCAGCCTTGTGTGGAAATATTGCATAAGTGGGCAACAATTTCCATACATCTTTCCTCTATAATAAGCTTTATATCGAAACGCGATACAAACGAATACCTATCGCTGTCTTTTTTCATACGGTAGTCCCAACCACTGCCGAGGAGGGAGTCTAGTTGATGAAAGCTTTCCGGTGAATATTCTTCGCGGAACATGTTGCCAGCATTTAGGCCAAATAATTTGGCATCAATGCCTTGCTCGTACAAGACGCGGAATCGTGCTTGACGCTTCTTGGATGACAAGCTCCGTTGAACTTCCTGCCGTATCGACGTCCTTAAAGCTTGGTTCCCACTAGGACGCAACGCAGCGACGCAAACGCAACGTATCGACGCAAAGTGACGCAACGCGAGGGTATTGCGGCTTCCAAGTGGGAACCGACGACGCAAACTAGGCAATGCAACGCAACATCGACGCTACTCATACGCAGTTCAACTTTTCGTAGAGTGTTGCGTCCCTTGCGACAGCAATTGCGTCGATTGCGGAAATTCAAACCGGTTTGAATTTTACGTCAACGCAAGAGGCAAACCCAAGAAAAAGTCTCATCTGCGCACGCTCAGTCAATTGCAAAACAACAACAACTGGGTCGTCTCAAAAGGAACGTCATCATGGTTTCCACAAAGGAGTCAGAGTTCATGGAAATTGTGCGAGAATATCCCTGCCTTTATGATAAAGGCAGTGAACAATTCAAAAGGCGGGATATTAAAACAGAGGCGTGGAAAGATGTGAAACAACGATCCGGAATCGACAATCCCGAACAACTATATAAAACAATAAGGGACAGATTTACAAGGTAGGCTAGCTAGGTTAGGCCCCTACTAGCTAGGCCTCCTTTTATCGCACCATCCCTCCATCCTAGCCTAGTAGGCGTAGTCCTAAGGCCTAGTCAATTTTTATATACTGTATAAGGTTTATTTTTATACTGGTGTGGTAGACAAGCTAGACCAATTGTACCACCACCGCATTTGATTTAAAAGTATAAGCCTAGGCTTGACTACTGAATGATAGATTAAAAGTAATTAAATAATTAGTAAATAACAAATAATAAATAAAATTTGTGGGCATGCTGCATATTCTTCATCGTATTAAAAAAAGAAGGTTGGCGAGTTTTTTTTCGATATCGGGAGGGATGCTAACCAATGCTAATTTTTATCATGATGGTCATAATAATAATAATAACATAAACACATATACAAAATACATATTAATCTTCTAGGCTTAGATCTAGAAAACAGAAATGTAATAAGAATTATAGATTAGAATTACTTATAATATATTAAACTGTGTGGCGGCCAGGAGAAGCCCAAAAACTTATTTAACCTTTTTTAATTCCTTTGTTAAAACTTCCCTAAAAAAATAAGTATGGTATAGCCTAATAATTTTAAGATCTGAGTTTTCTATACCTACAATTCAATATGACTCAATACCATTACAAAAAAAAAAGTATAGGCGAAAAAAAAAAATTATAAACATTACAGTAAATCCAGTTAATAAGTGTATAGCATGTTTAATAGTTACACAGGGATACTCTGATACAGGCCTACAAATCAAGAGTCTGAGGATTAATTTACAACTGCTAAATTTAATATGTAAATTTACAAACAAAACAAGCATAAAATGTTGAAACTGGATATATTTCAGTTCAACATAAAGTAGAAACTTATCCAAATTGTTATTGTTTTATTTAAAGATACCTAAGGACTATAAAACTTCCTTCTGGAAGCGGAAGTATAGTAGTAATCTCAAAGGGCTACGAGAGCCTTAGATGGATGCAGGCCTTCATCAAACATAGGCAAACCATTTCTAATGATGGTAAGTGTTCATATTTTCAATATGTTACAATTTCATGTTTCAATGATTTAGAGAACTTTCATCAGAGTTGAAATAATTACAATGATTGTCTCTGATTACTATAAAGTCTACAGTTATTACATCAATTTGGTTCTAAAGCTTTGATGCATGTGTCGCCTTCCTTCCACGGCTTCATGTCACTCTCTTCCCTCAGCATGGATTCAATAGAAAGTTTATTTCCACATCATCAATACAAAATACATAGACGGAGAAATGCATAAACCGTATAAACCCACAAACCCATTTAGCTTTATCTTTCATTATCAGATAATTGTGTGAGCATAATATTACTGTCACTATTTTATTTGTTTAGTCAGGTATACAAATATAAAAACGATTACAAACAACAGCCAATGCTGATGATATTAAAGTAACTTTTATTTAAAATAAAATCATTGATTCGATTAGTCATTCAGTAAATTGTGCTTACTGTCATATGGGGCAGAAAATTATTCTCCACCTGTCGTAGCGGCAGCTAAAATTGGCATAATACAAGTTAACTGTTGAGATATTATGATATTAAAGTAACTTTTATTTAATGTTACCTAATATTTTTAGAAGTTCAGCTTGATCTGGAAGAGCAAGAAACAGAGACTGAAACCCATTTACACCATGGGAATGACGCAGTAGATGAGGCGGATGCTCTAAATTTGATGCATCAAATAGAGGGTCAGGTAAGTTATATGCACTGACAATGGAATGTTTTGTAACTAGATGCAGTATACTGTATCATTAGTGTCAATTGTTAATCGGAATGGCTAAATGCACTATTTAAGTAACATGTGATAAAGCACCAAATGTGAGTGAACTGTAACTTAGCTTGATGTACTGTGTTGTTGTCATAAAGGAAGAAGACATTGTCAATGATGACAACAACTTATATGATATTCTAGATGTATCAACTGCCCCATCCACTTCATCTATTCAAGATATTCAAGGTGTGTATAAATAACCCATGTTGTGTCATATATTAATTTGAGTAATTACGAAATGTTTGTGATGATTTACCGTCCAGATGATAGTAGTTTAATATGTTTTTATCATTTCAGTGGTAAATAGGAGGAGTAGTGCTCCAGCAGAGGTAATTATATGCACTGTACTTGTTTTTAAATATTAGAAAGAACGATTTTATGGCAGCATAGTTTGGACTGGTTTTTTTCTAATATATTAATTTAGCTTTATCACACTATCAATTTATTTTACTGCTATTTCAAAATGAATTTATGTTTCTCTGGATTTCCTTTTCATTCTTAAGCATTTGAAGAGAAAAGCTTCAGTGGAACTACCGAACAGTGATTCAAGACAGGGAACACTGAAAAGTAAATAGTGTATTACTTTTTATATTTACAATAATATTGTATGACATCAAAGTCTAAGACCTCGATGTAGGTGATTGTACTTTCATTTATTCATCATGAACAGCTACTGTACTGTAGACAAATTTCTGTTTTTTTTTTGTTTTTTTTTTCTTTTTAGGTGGGTTACAACACCGCTAGATGGACTTGCAATCTAGTCAATTGACTGTACCGTCCTAATTATTCATTTTTTATCTATTTCAGGGTCATACAACAAGAATCAGAAATTGGTGTGTATAGTATGCTTTTCTTTATCATCCCATAATTAATTTATTTTTTACAGCAAAGTGCCTACCGACAATATTACAGACAATCATAGATTGAACCCCTGCCCCCTCTCAAGCTACCAAATGTATATCCTATATACCACTCAGCATGAATATATATAAGAAACTCCCATATTTCTCTCTTACTATTTATATTGCAAATGAAATGTAACATAACAATAAAAGATACAGTATGTAATAAAATACATTATATATTGATTGTTGTAGGAATCTGATGATGACTTATGGAAGTCGGCAATTAAAAAACTGTCTAAAGATGCCCCAGCTGATGATGATTGCTCCTTTTTTGGGAGCATGGTGGCAGAAAAGTTGAGGGCTATTCCTCAGAGGAAGAGAAGTTTGGCACAGATAAGACTGCTTCAGGTGTTCATTGAGTTGGATGATGAATTGATGTAACTTGTGGAATTTGTTTTGGTTACATTATTATTACAATAATAAATAATATAAAAATATTTATTTACCCGTCCAAAATTACTATGCAATAATAAATTGATGCAATAACTACCATTACAATTTTCAATTATAGAGTACAGTATATTTGTGTTTATTATTTATTGTAGAGTACTACATTGTTACGTCACGATACCACGTTTTAAAATGCCAATTCCAGAAAGCTCATTAATATTATGAAGTCATTCAGGCGTAATAAACGGTAACCAACATCCAGAGCGGCGCCACCTGGTGTTGTGACGACACGACTGTGATACTTTATATTAAGTTATTACATTTTACAAACCTTTATTTATATATACGGTACAAAGATTTTATTACATTGACCTACCTCATGACAATTTTTGTGTTAATTCAATATGGGAACGTTAATTTTACAAGTTATTTTTATTATTTTTTTTTCTTTCTTTAGACAATACAACTTTAAGCTATAAACTCCCACAAAAATTTAATATTTCCTTTAGTGTGTAAATGTTTTTTTTTTTAAATGTTTCATGGTACATAATACTGTTTATTAATACAACAGTTTGCCAAACAGAAAAATGTTATTTTATGTTTTATGAAGTTTAAATGTTTCTTTACAAAAATAATGTGTTTTCTTTACTTGTTTTAAACCATTTTATTTTCGTTTGTATGTATATATGAACTGTGATGTGTGTGTATGTATTGTATATTTACTTATCATTTACCATCTTGTATCAATCCAATGCAATTTTATCTTTCCTGGGATTTGCTGCAAATAGTTTTTATTTCCGAAGTAGTTGTTGATGTGAATATACAGTATAATGTTGCCACTGTATACCTAGAAAACTTTTGTGTACAATACAGCCTTGCCTAGAGTAAATTTGTCGTTGAAATTTTCAGAGTTATTTACCAGTTGCCAATCAATGTGTGTTATTATTATTGAAAATAAAATGTAAAAAATATTTATAAAATTATCTGGATTCTGATTTTCTGGTAGTTCTGCATGTACTGTAATAATTTTTAAAACAATTTGACGATGACATTAAAATATTTTTTAATTCCCTAGGCTAGATTTCTAAATTAAAAAATAACACACCACTTCAAGTAGCACAACATATCTGTAGTTACTACAGAAATTGATCATAGGCCTATTCCAAAAATTAAATAGGTCTATTTAAGTAAAGAATACATGAATTTTTCATCAATACAGTACTGTACTAGATTTAGATGTTTCTTTATTGTAGTGTTAATAAGTGACAAACCATAATGAAAGTAGCACAATACAGCATTTCTAGATACTATATGTTAAATAAACATTTATTATAACATACAAACCACTGATAAAAAATTGTCATAAACATTAGATATTGCATATCTCTTAACATAGAGACTAACACTCCGATCCTAATATGGATCAAGTAGTACCATTTAATCTTATATATACAGTATATAAATTTTTGCAAAGCAGATTTAGTCTTTTTTTTAAGCAAACCCATTTGTATCAACTGCTAATAATGGTTTTGAATAAACATAAAACTTTAGTGGCAAATTAGCACACCCCTGTCACAAATATTTCAGAAAAGTTTTTTTTTTTAATTTTGATTATGCCCACTGCTGCCTCAATATCTCAAAAATAAGATATGTATATTTCTTCTTAATTACTGTATATACAGTTTACATTCACCAATAAAATGTTATTTTTTCTGCCCATCTCTGATGATCTTTAAAAAAAATAAGTATAAATAAATATAATAAGCTACAACATGGTTTTGATTTATCAATTTAAGTCAAAATGTATGTAGTCTGTCATAAAAAGAAATTATACAGTAATTTACTTTAACGAGTGTTCATGTTCCATCTGGAAATCCATGAGATGGCTGAAAGACTATGTCTTTCGTCCACAATATGAAACTGTTTCATTTTGCCATGCTACTGACCCATCTAAAGAGTTTACGTATTCACGCAGATTGTCTCTGATCATTTTAGCATCAAATGAATAGTTATTAGCACGATTTGCCTGTAATGCTCCCATGCCGTTGTCACCTTCTACCACATTGCGCCACTCTCCTTCTTTAAGCTCGCCTCCATCATAGCAGTCCACAAAGCCACTTGGGCTGTATCTAGCATTTTCTGTTTTTATTAAGTAGTTTTGCAAACACAACGTGGCTTTAATAATGTCATCAACTGTGCTAATATCGGCACGGATTGGGCGACGGAATATCCTCCAACGCGCTGCTAGAATCCCAAATGAATTTTCAATTGTTCTCCTGAGCCTGTAATTGAACACCCTTGATTTGAAGGACAAATCTTTTCCTGAATACGGTTTCATTAGCCAGGGTTTGAGGGGAAATATATCATCCCCCAAAATAAAATATGGTCTTGAGTTTTCTGGTACTGGCAAGGGAAATGTGCCATTTTGAAGTTCTTCATACAACTTTGATCGATTAAAAATGCTGGCATCATTCATACCGCCATAACTACCAATATTGACGTAGGTGAACGCATACCTGGCATCACATAATGCCAAAAGAACGGACGAGTGGAACTGTTTGTAGTTATAATACATTGAACCTCCGAATTTTGGGCATTCAATATTGATATGTTTGCCGTCAATTGCTCCAATGACATGAGGAAAGTTCCAAGTATCTTCATAGGCTTGAGCTATGTTTTTCCAATGATCGGAAGTGTGTGGCATTGCCATATATAATGGCTGCAACACACTCCAGATTGCTTGGCACGTCTCTCTGATTATTTTGCAGACAGTGGACCTACCAACCAAGAAGTTAAATGACTGCGAACTCTGTTGATCGCCAGTAGCTAGGTATCTCAACGTTATTATTAGTCTTTCTTCAGCACTGATTGGTTTCCTTAGTTTTGTTGTTTTTTTCTCCAGAAGATGTTGTATTAAACTCAACAAGTGATCAAACCTCTCAGGACTCATACGAGAATACCTAAATGAAATATAAAAAGGAACTGTGTTATGGTTTTATTTAAATTACATTAACATAGGCCTGGCCTTATACCGTATATATTTAAATAAATGCTTTACTCGAATAAACCCCCTGTAGAGCCTCATTTGAAATGAAGCTTCCCTTGAATCAAATATATATATATATATAGTATACAGGCATATTTATTTTACATAATAATAATTATAGGTATATTTAAATATGTATACATTATTATGTATACGTATTTATACATTATTATGTCTATATAACTCATTAAGTATTGTCATAATTATGTTGTTACCATTGTAATCATATCATTAGATACAGCTAATATGCCTTTTTATATTTTTATTATTATATTACTATTAATATTATTTTAATATTCATATTTAATGCAGGTTTCATTATTGTTATAATGATGTATTGTAAATGAAAAAAAAATACCAACGTCAACAATTTAAAATACTTTAATTTAACCAAAATGTGGTTTTAATGTGGTTTAATTGGGCTGAGTTGACTGTTTGGGTAGGGGAAAACAGTAGGCCTCCGCTGGAGGTAGGCCTACCACCACTGCATTGGCTTTTCCCCTCTTATAAAAACCCTCACTCATTAATAATGTTGGCACCTAGGCTTATAATAATAATAATAATAATAATAATAATAATAATAATAATAATAATAAAAATAATAATAAAAATAAAAATAATAAAAATAATAGGCCTAATAATAATAATAATAATTAATAATAATAATAAAAATAATAATAATAAATAATAATAATAAATAATAATAATAAATAATAATATGTAATCATTAGGCTATGAGTAAAAATCATAGATTGTAATTTGCAGAGGTTCATTAAAGCTAGGCACCAACAATGGAAATATTCACAGGATGCCCTAGCGTAGGCCTAGGCTAGACCGCCTATGCCAGGCCCTCCTACTACTACTAGGGCCTAGGCCAGGCTACTCACCTGAAAAAATATTCTCGGTCGGTGGCTTTCAATGATAAGAATGTTGTTTTAAACTGGCCATGTAAATCTCTTTCTTGAAATATTTCACGCACCCAAAATCGTCTCCTTTGTTTAGTCTTATTCTTCTTCCGCTTCCATAAAAGATACAGTATACATATTCTTGCCAATTCTCTGTCGTTGTTTTTCAGCATGTTGTCACTTCTCAGTAGGGCCTACTGTCTGCACAGTATTTTGCAAAGACATCGAATTTCCCGCTCACCCTGCGTCGTTACGTCGCCAAATGGGAACCATGTACTTTTCTTACGTGTTGTGTTGACGCAACCAAGCTTTACAGCGAAATTTCAACTTTTCGCAAAGAGGGGGGTGCGACTTT